CCACATTTCAGGAAATCTGAGCGAGGTCACCTGACTCGTCATTCATAGAACAGTTTGGCTCCAGGTCTGTATCAGCTCCCGTTGTTTTGTTTTTCCCGGGATATCTGATTCAAATTGTCACTTTCTGGTGGATTTAGGGCCAACTGAGTATCACTGCTTTTGTGAGCAGACAAGAAGTCAATCCCAACAAACAACAAGAGACGGCTGCAAAAAGAAGAAGAAAAAAAGAGGTTATAAAAAATAAAGTTGTAGCTTTTTTTCCATCTGCAAAGATGGAAATGTGGACGTTTGAATTCCAGAGAGTCACGTCCCAAAACCTGATCTTTGTCTAGTTATTAACCGTTATTAGAACTTTTTAAAAATACCTCACACACTGTTGTCAGAGGCGTCATTCTCAGATATGTTAATCCTGGAACTGTAAAACAAAAAGATCCCCGTTTTTCTTTTGTCACCTGCATAAATTGCCTGCCCTTGCCGGCGCCGGCTCTGCGCTGTCACCTTGTACAGAACGGACGTTGTTAAAATGACAAAAATGTCACCTCTCCTACCTGTTTCTCTGAAAGCTTTTGTACAACTTTTAAAGCACGAAAAATAACCTCGAAATCAAACTTCAGAGAGCGAGAGAAAAAAATAAGACAAGCATGAAGATCATTACCATGTCAGACAGTGAGAGGCAGACACACCAAATAGGATGTAAACAAAACACAAGAGGGGACAAGACATGTAATGGCATCCAGTAGGCGTGTCAGTAATGATGTGATCTCTCAGCCGGTGCTTTCTGCACAACTGCGCTTGGCCGTGTTGTGGGCTGCGGTGGTGCGAGCTGATGTTTTATTTGGAGTGGAGCAGCCTAATGAGCAGCAGGCAGAGGTCAGGAACATAGCGCCCACCGCTCTGCTATCTGATTACCATACCAAAACATATCTGTGTGTGTTTACTCATCTATCAGTTTGGCTGAGTGTGTATGCATGTCTCACTCGCCTCATATTGCTGTTGGGAAATCTCGCCTCTTCGCATCCCAAACACACACACACACACAGTCAGATGGGCACTTCAGTAATGAGGAGCGAGGAATCAAAGTCAAAAGAGCCACAGTGCTGCACTCTGAGCAGGGTGAAAAGAGAAAGAAAAGGAAGGAAGAGAAGTCAGCGAGGTGGGGAGGGATGGGAAAACGAAGAAGGGATGACGGAAGGCTGGCGCAGGTGTCCTTAGACCGCCCGGGAACTTCTGACACCTTATCTCCAAGACTGACGTTGGTGCAGCAATTAGTCCTCTCCCGCGCTCTCCACTGTCTGCCCCGGCACTTTGTGTCCTGCCTGTAGAAGAGCCTTAAAAGCAGACGAATGAGAAATAGGCTGCATGTCTCTGCATGCAGTCTTGCACGAGTCCGCAGGCCTGAATCCGGAGATAAACCCGCTCAAATCAATTTTATCTTTCTTTATGCACATTATGTGTTTATATGCGATTGCAAGTTTGCTCTCTGTGTCGGCCTCCGTCATTGCTGATTTTAAGGTGCGATTAAAAAACGAAGAGAAAAGAAATGACAGGTGTAGCATTACTTTCCGTCATTGTCCCATTCAAGCCTGAGCCTCTCTCTTTTTCAACTCCCGCTCACTCTCTCCATCACTCAGGTGCTGGACATTGTACGTACCAATGTGCGCTCAGTGCTGCAGCGGATCTGGAAGGAGCCAGACGTAGAGAGCCTTCACCTCTACCGGCTTTTTAATCGCGTCTTCAACAGGCTGCTCTGGAGCCACGGCCAGGGCATGTGGAACTGCTTCTCCAACACCGGGTAGGTCCAGTCGGAGCCACAGCCACCCTACATCACAGCTGTGCGGCCACATTTGTTGCAACTGTGTGCAGTCAGCTGGTCTCTGAAATTGCTTCAAAGATGGGAGCAGTTCTGGGACCAGTCGCAGTCTCGCTGTTTGATTAAACAGAGT